AAGCACTGCCTCTTGATGGGATCGTGGCACCGGTCTCTCCTTTCTGTGCACTTCCCTGCCTCTGTGGCTCCTGTGGCCTCTGCCTCTTTGCCTCCCAGGCTTCGGCTACACCTTACTTGTTCAAAAGGAGCTTCCCTGCACCTCTGATGGAAATTTCCACAGTGCTTCCTGGAGATACACAGGGGTGTTAAGGCCTGAGTCAAATGTTCACCTGAATCCAAGAAGTGACTATTTGCAGGTCGGAACTGAAGGCAGAACCAGTGGATGGAGATTCAGATCTATTCAAAGGTACTCCATCTAGGTCACCATTCCTTCTGTAGTTCTACAGGCAAAGAAAGTCATTTGTTTGCCCCTGTCAAGCACCGTTTATATTCATGGGCAATCTGTGTGACAGCAAAGTTAGTATTTCATCAACCAAGAATTTGCAGGGAGAGGTCGATTCTATTTCAGGTAATACAGTCTCATTGCTAGGGCATAGCCAAGGCTTAGAGACACTCAAGTGTCAGGAGAAAATCTCAGTTTGAAGGCAATCTGTCCAGATGGCTTCTGTGTGGTCCCATCTGAAGAAGGGAACGGAGGCAGATGAGATGACCACCTTCGCAGGGGTGGACGCAGCTGAGTGCAGCAAGGGCCTGTGGTCAGACCGGAGGACGTCCACACCAAAAGCTCCCGAGTGATGGCTGCCCGCCAAAGGCTTTGACTTCGAGGAGAATGACTGATGACAGTGTTAAATGGAGCGGCTGTGCTCACCTAACACCCCCTGCCTGCTCCCCGCTCCATCTGTTCCTCAACTCTGACTCTGCCAGCAGTCTGTTCTTGCTTCCACTTTCCAGTAAGTTCCTAAAGACACCAGTGGTATGCAGGCCTCACTCCTAGCGGGAGGAGGCCCCTCAGCCAGGAGCCAGCACCCTGGAGCCGACACCCATGATTAACATGCTGGTCCTGAAACATGAGAAGCTGGGAAAGACAGACTGGGGCTGTTTCAGTGACTCAGGGTTTCTACCAGCATCCTGTAAAAACCTCAGCTTCTCCATGACGCTTTCCTTGATCTGATCAGAATTATCCCAGCACAGATCACCTGTCCCTCTGTGCCCCTCCCTCTGTGCCCCCACCCTCCCTGGGACCCGGCTCCATGTCAGTGCCTGGTCCCACTTTGGCCGGCTGCTCTGTACGATCTGGGCTATCTCCTCCATGACCAGGCCGGGAGCACTCCGCCAGGGCTGTCACCCTTTACTATTATTTCAAACAAAACTTACTTAGGAATGAATGCATTTCACAGTGTGGATCCAAAGCTTTTAATAATGCAGGCTGCTACATTGGTGTGCCTTTATTCTATTTCTTTCCACTCATTCTTTCAGCAAACATTTATTGGGTTCTTATTATGGGCCAGGCACCGTGATTGTGGGATCACAGAGTCGAATGAGACATGGATCTTCCCCTCAACCAACTTCCCCTCAACCAACACCTGGAGGGAGACCCAGGTGCATAAAATTAAATGAATATATTATTTTATGCAGTTTCAGAGTGATCCATAATGAATTACAATATCAGCAAAACACAAAAGCAGTATAACTAAGAGTCAAGATTGGAGAAGGGTGACATGGAGGAAGTGACCCTGAGCTAAGTCCTAGTGGAAGGTTGAGGTGTCTTGGGGTGGAGGTAGGTTCTAGACACAGGTACTAACAGGACTAAAGGAACAGAAGGCAGGACAAACAAGGGCGTGTGTTGGGAACTATAAACAGAGAATGTGACGCGGTAAGATTTTGCATTTCAGAAAGACCACTCGGGCCACTATGTGGAGGGCAGAGTTGAGGAGGACGCAGCTGAAAGTAGGGAAATCATTCTGCAAGCTGCTGTAAAGGTCCAAGCAGGAGAAGGTCAGGCCTGAACTAGGGGAGTGGGAGGAGAAATAGGGGGAAGACATTGAAAAGGTGAGAAATAGGTGAGACATTGAAAAGGATTCAGGAGCTACAATCAGCAGGACACCAATGTGTGGAGGAGAAACAAGAGACAAATGAAGGAAAATGGGGAGAGAACATGCCTCAGAGCAAGCAAAGGCTATTGCTAAGATGAGAAGAGGGCAGAGAGCGATGGCTTTGTGCAAAGCCAGGAAGGGTGTATGGTTGACAGTGTCAAGTGCTGTAAGAGGTCACTTAAGATTGGGACTGGAAAATTGCCAATAGGTTAGAAACGTGTTCATTGGTGACCCTGGTGAGGGTGGTTTCAGTGGTGCAAGACAAAATTGCATGGACTGAGGAGTGAATAGAAAAAACAAAAGTGAATTCAGAACAGACTCATTTTCTCTTTTGGATACTATAGACTGAGTAACCTAGGGCTTAAAAACTTTAAGTATCCAGAATTATGGTTGAGGTCTGAAAAAATGTATTAGCTTCGGAATGCAAAAAGAAAAAGCAAAATTAAATTGACATGTTTAATTAAATATCTCCAAAATGGAACATTACTTTGACTTCATTAAATTTTGAATTTAATATTAATGAAAATTTCATTACAGTTAGAAACTACTTTTGGGGTTAGATTTTTCTCATTTCACAAGTGTTCCCTTGTACACACAATGATTGCTGGGCAGTCATAGCCGATTCTAAATCAACTGCTTTTTGTCACTCAGTCATATCAGAAGCAAAATTTTAAAATGCCCATAACATAGGATATGGGTGCATTTTCTTCTATTTGCTTTTATGGGAGATGGGGCCTCCAAATGTAAGTGTTTTAATGGTTTAAAATATCTTAAAATAGTTTTGATATAGACAACTGTTTGAAATAGCTTGGCCAAGGAAGGAAGGAAAGAGAAGGGGTGTTCACTAGGCAGAGCTGGAGGGGAAGAAGGATTTTGGGGTGTTTTTTGAGAAGGGAGAAATGTGTGTGTATGTGCTGAAGGAGAGTCGGTGGGGAGGAAGAGATGGAGGGGGCCCGGGGTGATGACAGAGAGGCAGGGGAGGCAGCTAGAGCCCAGATGGCAGAGTAGGACCTAGAGAGGGGCAGGTCCTCTGCAGAAATATGAGGGAGGGTCAGGGTCCTTCAAGGAGATCCTAGTCTTTTTTTCTCAATCCAGCAGAACAATCCCAGAATGATAGGAGAGTCTTGTACTATCTAGTCATCACCTGGGGATTCTGTTTACCTGACTAGGTGGGCACCCTTAGTATCACAGCTGCCACTTCCCTCAACTAGGGAATCTCTATCCAGCCCTTCTCCCCAGGGCCCAGTTGGACAAACTAGTTCATCCCCGATGCCCGGACGCACAGGCCAATACCCTGGTTCTCACTACCCTTAAACCTGTAACCGATGCCCGGATACACAGGCCAGTAGCCTGGTTCTCACCACCCTTAAACCTGTACCTGGAGCGTCTTCTTGCACACCCCAGCTACATCTTTGGTGCTTTCCCTCTTAAATGTCTCTTTTGACCAGTATCCCCCTGCTCCCCCCCACAACACCTTCACATGGATCCTGCTGTTCCTCCAGTCGAAGACCTTCCCAAAAGGTCCCAGGTTAGAGGGGCAGGTGTTCTACCTCCTGGAAGATAGGAACCTACTCCAAACCCTATATGTCTTCCCTTAGAATTGAGTTTTTTAATAACACCCTGCTTTTGATTATTCAGTATAGAGGCTCTCTGAGTATCTGTGTTCACACAGGTACTCAAAAGTTGACTCTGTGTACCTGCAGGTCAGAGCACATACAATTACACTCATCAGGTGAACCCTCCACAGCAGATTATACTAGAGTAGGCAGGCAGTGTGCCACACTGTCATTTAAAAAACAAATCAAAAAACAACAGACATCCACTCGAGGCTTTGTGAAGGAAACCCAAGGCCTCTTGAAATGGCTATTTAGGGCTATGTGTCCGGCTTTCCAGGGTGCAGACAGTAGTGTCATATTTCTGCTCCTGACCCGCGGCCCCGCTCTCAGTGTTGTGTGACACTGACACTGGCTGAGCTCCGTGTCCCGTGGCGGCACTACCGACTGGACAGTCACTCAGATGTGCAAGCTTTCAGGATAGCACAGGACACGAGCTACCCTCTTGGCATTTTCCTGGGTAAAAGGTGCTTTTCAACTCAGGATCTTGGCTCCCATTGAATCAGAGTTTCATGTGTTTATGGCACTTCCTGAATGTTTGGGTTTCTCCAGAAAATACCAAAAAAAAATCCCATCCAGTTCCATAACTAAACTCCATGTTTGACACTGTGGAAATGAAAGAACCATATTATTCTACAAACATTTATTGAATCTATACTATGTGCCAGATATTTTGCCAGGCAATGAGGCTGCAACCAGATATATGCCTGACTTTAAGGAATTTACAGCCGGGTACAATGTTTTCAAAGAAATGCCATTATGCAAACTAATGGCAGGCCTGGCTGCAAAAGAATTTCCTGGGAAATGCATTAAAAAAAAAAAAAAAACCCTGGGCCCCATCTCCAGCGATATGGATATCATAGGTCTGGGGTAAGGCCGAGGGGTCTCTACTTTTAAAAAGCTTCCTAGGTGGTTCTGATGGCAGCCAGGTTCGGGACCACTGGTCTGTAAAAAAGTTTTACTTGGTAAATACGTATTTTAGTAACATGTTGACACAAATAGGTAAACAATTGTTTCTCTCCGTAGTTTGGTGGAAACTTGCTTTATATCAAGCAAGCACAATACTGGGAGAGTGACTGAATTTTCTATGAAACTGCTAGAATTTTGGGGTATTTTGGTATCATGTCTCTATAGGCTAAATCAAATTTTTCCCCAGGCCCTTTTCTTAAAGCGTCCCTCACCTCTCACCCCCAGGCAGCACTTGGAGGTTCTCACCCTTCTCTATGTGCAGCTAGATCCCCCGCCCACAGCTCTGCTGCATTATTTTTTCCAAACGATTAATAATCTCTCTCCAAGGAATATGTGTATAAAGCATCTACAAGACTGAAGCTCTGGTCGTTTGAGTGACTTTCAGCATTTTCGGCAGAATGATTATGTCTTCTGCATCATTTTTCACTCTTACTTTCTTACAGGACTGGGAATGGAGAATATTGGTGGAATCTTTGTGGTTCTTATTTGTGGCTTAATCGTGGCCATTTTTATGGCTATGTTGGAGTTTTTATGGACTCTCCGACACTCAGAAGCTACCGAGGTAAACCTTCAAAGGGTGTGATCTGTGGTGTTGGTCGATGGGGCAAAGTTCGATGGGCCTATGCGCCTACAAGTCATTTCTGACAAAATCTGTGAAATCCCACAAAAGGGTGGAGTGACCAGAAATTAGCCCAGTCCCCAGAGCTGGAGAACTGGCTTAGGGCTTCCACACTTACTAATTATGCAGCTACAGAAAGGACACTCACCCTCTGGGCTTCAGATTCTTCTCTGAAACAGTCAGGCAAATATGTGAAAAATATTTTACCAAAAGAGTCTTACGTAACTACAATTTAAGATGTAATACCACAAAGAAAAACAGGTGAAAGTATCATTTTACTAACAGAAGCAATGATTTTAGCGCTTCTGTCTTCAGAATGTTTTTCCCTCACAGGTAAAGATGTTTAAAGATATGCCAATTCACATGAGCACAAAAATTACATCTTCCATCTCAGGGATTTTGAATAGGCTCAATTCCCAAACCTGTGGCTTAGAACCTAGGCTTATGTAAATTTCACTAAGATTGAAGTGACTGAGAAGAAGGAGGAGACATTATCCTATTTTACCTCCATGCTCCCTCCGAGAGGAGACACAAACCCTTGCATGCTAATAGTAGTATTTGCTTTTTAAAGCATATTAGCTTCCCTCTCCATCTCCTGACTCTGGGTCTTTCTGACACCTTCTCTGACTGGTGTGGGAGAAACAGCTCCTAACAAGGCACCCTTGGAGTGCCTGTGCATCTGTGGTGTCAGCCCCTAGAGGGTCTCAGTTGAGCGCTGCCCGCCGGCCCTCTTACTCTCTTTGTTCAGTCTCTTTCTCATTCCTCAGTGGGACTTCTGTGTGTCACCCACTTGTCACACCCCTTTGCTCCTTCATGCCTAGAGGTTAAGTTCACCTCCCACTTCACCGAACAATCAGGAGTGACCAGCTCCACAGTAAAGCCCCACCTCAAAATGTAGCCACAGTGAAAGCCACTCCCGCTTACCTTCCCTCTCTGCCTTGATCCCATCTCTCCCCAGCTGCCCCAGGATTATCCTTTTACTCCCCCTTTTTTTTTTTTTTTTCTTTTTTCCCTTTATTTTAAAAAATTTTTTATTTTTTTCTATATTCTTTAAATAACAGCAATATTACCCTTGTTCTTGCTTTATTCCTCCCCTCTTTCAAACCGAGGGGCTCTGACTGCCTCAGCCTCCATTTCCTCCCATCCATCCTCAATCCAGGGCAGTCTGACACCTAAAGATCCCTGCTAAAAGGTCTGACCCCTCCCGATGGACAGAACCGAGGGGAACTGTTGGGCCTTACCGGACCTTGATGGAGTGGACAGCTCCTCCCAGAACTTCTCTCTCCCCTGGCCTTGATGGCACCAGACTCTCGGTCCCCTTTGCATTCTCTCTCCAGCTTTACTGGCTTTCTGCCACTCCATTCGTGGTGGTGCTACCTACTTACTCCACCAGATCCAGTTCAGGCGTTCTGTCCCTGCGAGACCATCCCCAGTTCTCCTGCCTCACCCCCTTGGCCAGGAGAGCTTATCATTCCTCCTCTGGCCACCACTGTGAGCTGTGTCGAGAGCATCACCATCCCTGCCAAACATGTGTGGCCTGGAAGTGAGGAGGACTGTCTTTTATCTCTGTATTTCAGTGCTTGATACATAATTGACAATCAATACATAAATGTTGTTATATTCTTGTCCCATGTAATAGATGAGGCAGGTGGTGGTTTAGCTGTTATAGTTCCTATTAGCAGCACAGAACAGTTAAGTGACTTGCCCAGAGTCTCTGCTATATACTAACGATAGTGGGTCTGGAATCCAGGTCTCAATTCTTAACTCAGTCCATATTTCATTAGATGATACCACGTCTCTGCAGCTGCTTCAAGCAGAGCATCTGTGCACATTTGGTTATTCTGAGAGCTTCCTTTGGAAATTTGGTTATTCTAAGAGCTCACTTTGGAAATTTCAGTGGAGACTATCAACAGCTCACATGAAGAGTAAAAGCTACATTAGCTGTTTATTAGCTATTTCCTGTGGTAGAACAACTGTCTTGTTGATAGAACTGGGAGAATAGAAGACAACGTGTAAGAGTATAAGGCTTCTTCCTCCATCATGGTCCAGAACAGTGTCCTTCCCAGCACAGAGCAGGGAACGAAACCAAGCACAGAACAGCTTTGGAGTAGATAGGCTTAGGTCCCAATTCTGCGTCAGCTATTTACTAGTCAAGGGATTTTTAGCAGGACTTTTATAACTTCTCCGAGCCTCCATTTCCACACCTCTGAAATGGGTATAATAGTAATAGTAGCTATGATAATAGGCTCGTGATTCTTCATCTACAATTCTGACACCTAAAAAGCTCGGAAGGTTCCAAGTTTTTCTGTATGTTTGATGCAAATGCATTTGGCGACAAAGCTTTTTTGACTTGAGCTGGTATGAAGCTATTGTACATGATCTTCATCTCACTCCATGTGGAGGTTCATACATTTTGCTACAGAAATATTAATGTGTTTGACTCTAGGGCTGGCCCCAGGCCCTACTGGGTGTGATACATAATATATTGTTTGTGTAATTGTGTTACCTTCCTAAAATGCAAAATATGCTAAAACACAGCTAGACCCAAGGGCTCCCTATCAGGAGACTGTGACTGGCTGGGGTAGTGGCTACTGTTGTCTTAGTTGTGATGGTTGTAGCTAGAATGCATCCTTTCCGGCTATAATCAGTTAATTAAAAGAAGTGAGAGTCTAGCCTCAGAACAGAATGTTCCTGGAGAAGTGATAGATTTTTCGAAGACTTGAAAGGCTGGCGTGAGGCAGAGGGGTTATTTATTTAGGAGACTTCAGTCCAAATTTAACTGGGATCAATTGATGAAGTGTTCAGGGAGAGGTAGCGGGAGCTCAGTAGATGGAAGCAGTGGTTCGTGGAAATGTGCCAACTGGCAGGGGCCCCTTCCCACCGTGGTGGGGTCACTGTTTGGAGGCGATCCAAGATTGGACCCCCAGCTGGCAGGGCTGTTGAACATTATAAGGGCTTTGGAATACTAAATGGGAGGTGGGATGAGAAAATGGATAGAAAGGCCCTCATGCAGTCTTCATACCTAATTCCTAGGATTCGGTGTCACTGCCCCCCTACCAACCACCCCCACCCCCACTCGAACAGACAGCCCAGGGGACCCTCGGGGGCCATTCTGAGAGGCTGGGCTGTGACCTCCTCCTTCCCTCCAGGTGTCCGTGTGCCAGGAGATGGTGACTGAGCTGCGCAGCATCATCCTGTGTCAGGACAGCGTCCACCCCCGCCGGCGGCGCTCGGGGATCCCGCCGCCCCGGCCCCCGGCGCCCGAGGAGCGCCGGCCCCGGGGCACCGCGACGCTCAGCAACGGCAAGCTGTGCGGGGCCGGGGAGCCCGACCAGCTGGCGCAGAGACTGGCCCAGGAGGCCGCCCTGGTGGCCCGCGGCTGCACACACATCCGGGTGTGCCCCGAGTGCCGCCGGTTCCAGGGCCTGCGGGCGCGGCAGTCGCCGGCGCGCAGCGACGAGAGCCTGGAGTGGGACAAGGCCACCAACAGCAGCGAGCCCGAGTAGCCGCCGCGCCGCTCCGGACTGGGGACCCGGCACCTTCACCCAGAGAGCAAAGGGCCGGAGGCAGCGCGCTGGCGCGGGAGCTGCGGCCGCCGGAGACGTGCGCCCGGGGGGCGAGGGCCCGCCTCCCTGCCCGCCCCGACGACCCCCTTCTCGGGTGGGCCTTTCCCCCCGCCCAGAGTCCGGGGTGGGGGTCCCTGCCCGACCCGGCCCGGTGAACCTGTGGGTTCATCAGCGCGATTTCCCCCTAGGAAGGGGCAACTGTACCCTGGGTCTAGTTCTTACAGGAAAACAAAACAACAATTAAACTCAACAGGGAAGTTTTTCTTTTCTGGCTTTGTATATCTTTGTGAATGTTCTTTCTGTTCGTTTCCCCCTTCTCTCCGTCCTCCGTTTTTCTTTGTGGTCTTCTCAATTCTGGTCATTTGTTTTGTTTTTTTCCGGAGCGGGAGGCTGGGCTAGGAAATGGAAGTCCCATTAATCCCTGTTCCTTTTTCCTAAATTTTAGGATGGGGAGCGGCCAACGCAGCAGATTTCAGGCTCTGAGCTCTCCTTTCTGTGTGGTGATTGGGGGCACCAGGGAGTGTAGGAGAAGGTCTTGGGAACAATAAGGTGGAGAGTCTCACATAAAAGTCCATTCATTTTTAAAATGCCAAAAACCAATTCACTTGTAGCCCTCGCAGAGACCTTGAAATGCCTGGGGTTTCAGGGGTTAATATGTTTTCTTTGCTTGTGCTTTTTCTGCCTTGCACTGTCATTGAGTTTCATTTGGTCTCTTGTGAATGTGATCTCTGAAGAAGAGAGACAGGAGGAGAGCAGAGGCACAGAGTGTCCTGGGGCCTTGCTTAAGGAGCAGAAAGTGGAGATGCAATTTTCCCACACCACAGCCCGGGCCTCCAGTGGAACGTGCTGCTCACAGCCGAGGTGGTGTGGAGCCACCGTGTCAGTAGGGTGCATATTTCGTCAGCTTCATCTCTTTTTAACCAAACTCAGTAGCTAGCTGCCTATGAAGCCAGACCCCCAAAGCTATCATGGATTGAGTGATTTCTTGCTGTTTGACATGAGACCCAGATGCAAGTGTCTGTGTGTACATGTGTGTGTAAGTGGGTGTGTGCCTGTGTGTATGTGTTTATTAAATGGAAAGACCTTACGTAATCAAGAACGCGCCAGGTTCCTGGGAGAGCGGTGGAGTCTAAGCCAAATCACAGGCCTGGAAACTACAAACTCTTTGAGTCCTAACCTCAGCTTGTGCAGTAGCCCCCTTGTGTGAGTTTAGGGAAAGCATTTAGCTTCTCTTCCATCTACAAAATCAAGAGTTACTGATGCTTCCCAGGCTATCAGGTGACTGCTACTACCGCTCTGCTTGTGAGATGTTTGTAGGATCCGGCCCCCTCCTCTGATGGGAGGGTGAGGCTTCCCAGTGAGGCTGACCTTTGCTTGGCTTCACCCATTGGGAGTTTGATGCAGAGGGTTTTCTAAATTCTATGCAATTTCTGATTGTCCACTTAGAAAATTCAGAGGGAGAGAGAAATAAACAGCCGCTTCCACCACCACCACGACCACCACCTTGAATCGAATTGTCCTCATCTTGTTTCTGATCCGAGTGTACTAAAATAAAAGATGTGTTTGGAAGATGACAAGCTTAATTCCATGTTTTTGCTGCTTGGGTAGGTCGATATCCTCTTTGTGCGAGGACAGTTAGTTACACTGCCATCCTGGGGCCAAATGGTACCCTGATTAGTCCTATAAAGGATGCCAGTTTTGTCCTTGGCTGACCTTCTCTCATGAATTTGATCCTTTTTCCTTTTCTTCTTGAACCATCAAATGACAGTAAGCCGAACAAGACACAAATGTTTTTTTAGACCTTGCCTCAAGCCTCGTGGAGAACCGTGGGCTTGGTGGGGAGGGCACCCGAAGGCCAGCTGACCGCAGACCCCAGTGGTGCCACCTTGCTCCAACCCACAGCTCCATCCCTTGCTTCTGACAGTGTGGTCCCTACATCAGATCATACTGGGGGATTTGGGGGGTGGGTAGGGTTGTTTTTCTAAAAACTTGTTTTTATGAGCAGGATATCTTGATCAATATCAAACTTTTTAATGGATTAGCAAAATAAATGTGTCCATGAATCATTTATAAAGTCTGTTTCTTTCACCATGTGGAATAAAGATAAGACTGACAGCCCTAGACAGTTTCTGTTAGCTGCTGAGACCATCGCTGCGCTTCACCCTTGCTGGTGAGTGGATCTGCAGCCAGCTACTTCTCTTCCTTAGTTTGACTCCACTTTTTATCTGTGGATTGTTGGCTTTCTTTTCTGTTCTGTATTTTCTATCTGACTCTGTATACTGTATAAAGCAGTTTTTTTCTTGTCTGTTTATCTTTCTTTGGAATATTTACAATAAAACAGAAACAAACCCTGAGATGTTAGTGATGGATGAAAGCTGTTTTGATTTGGAAAGAATGATTTGGTGTGTCTAATGTCGAGGTACTCTACAAGCAAATAAAAATATAAACCCACTTGGGGTCTTCCCCTCCACCTGCCCTCTCTGTCTCTCCCTCTCTCCACCACCCTCTCCAAGCCTCCACCCACTTCAGCTCTTTGTTCAGATCCCAGAAAAGTCTAGGTGGCTTCTTTCAATCTGTAGTCCTGGGAGTCCGAGCCAGTCCCCCTGCCCCAAACGGATACACATGCTAATGAAGTTCAGGATTCCATAGGGTTTTGTCGTCCTAAATGCACTTACACAGAATAGTCATCTATTGATACCTAGGGTAACTCTAGTCAGATACCACCCCAGATTCCACTGGGAGCTTGAAGATTACATCAATTAAAATATAATACTTTGCTTTATTTCTTTTAATTGCCTTGCAGGGCCCCAACCGTCACAAGATCTCTACCTTAGAACCCAGGTGGGGTGTAAGTTGAGCATGTAGATGGCCGAAAATCTTTTGGCTTCCTCTCATCCAATGCTCGTATGAGAATATTCATCTTGGACACTTGCCAACCGGCCCTCTTATTCGTTAGGTGAGACTCACATATCGTGATAACCAATCCACCTGGCTACTCTGCAAAAGGTTATTAGTTTTGGATTCCTAGGGAGTTCAGTTTTCTGTTGGAATCCAAGAGGGACTTCCCCATGGTGTGGGAGTCAAATACACGAGGCCATAAAGGGCTGTGGCATTTCAGACGCGGCACGCGGGTGGTTTGAGTGAAGCTTGAGAGCACCGTGTGTGGCTCCCCCGCTGATGGGGTGTGCACAGCAAGGTAAAAGAGTCTGCACATGATAAGGGCGATTCGATTCCCTGACTGGCTGTCAGCCCTCTCAGGGTAATAACAAAGAGGCCTGTTTGGAAAATTCAGAGAAGGCACCCTTTCATAAAGATTTTGCTTAAGGCTTGTGCTTCCTCTGGGGCCTTCTCAAAGAGAAAAATTAAACCTTTAGTTGCCTTGAGCTGTGAGTTGTTCCTCTGGACTCTCTCCCCACAGGAAATCCCCCATTATTATCCAGAGAGTGAGCCCTTGGGGGCTGACAACCTGGTCATCCTACAGTCTGCCTCAAAAGCTGGTGATGTCAGGCCTTCAGAAACCTCTTTGCATAGGAAAAAATATATATATGTGTAAATATAGGTATCTATCTATCTTGTAACCAGGTGTGGCTTCCAGAGCAGAAAAAAGATCTAAGTTTTAAGGGGACAACAACGCCATTGTAATTTAAGGGCAACCAGACAAGAGAAGTTCTGTCACTATGGATAGGGCAATATTGTTCAGATTTTATTAATTTCATACTAATTTCCAAATCTGAAGAATAAATGAAGCAGTAGTAATGTTACCATTACAAAGTCACAGAACTAGTGCTGAGATCAGGAAAGAAAGAAGTGCATCAAGGCAATAAAAGTGGAAAACAACCTCTCTGATCAGAAGTGGCAGAGGAGTTGAAGCCCTAAGAAGGGGTATAAAGAAATTCGAGCATATAATCTGCCAATATATTAACTGAGGGCATGCATGTAAATACTTCAGTGGCTGGGATTTACTGAAGCATGTCAGGGAGTCAGTGTACTCTCTGGGGACTTGACCGTAGTAAGGGGTTAGGTGGGGTGGAATCCATAGGATAGAAAGGGTGGAGGTCTAACACGTAAGTGCAATGATCCTTCTACTTTAAAATTAGCTAAACAGTCCTGCCCACTCTTCAGCATTCCTTGTGCCTAATCTAATGTCCTCTCTTGACTGTGTCAGAGAGGTCATAGAACAGCAGGAACCATAGGACCTCTCACCCTGTTGGCACTTTGTCATAGACTGACAAGTGACCATGAGAGGGTGTTGAGAATCTGCAGGAAACAGTGATGTAGATGAGAAACTCTGCACTCTGCCTGGGAAGACATAACCTACTTGTAAGAAACAGCAAAGTAAGGCACAAAATACCAACATGCTGGAGTGTTGAGCTAGCCTATCTTTGTTTCATATAAAACAGCAGATTTGCTGAGGCTGTCATCATTTCCATAGGATCTAAGGCCCTCCCTGAGCCCGCCCCTGCTGATCCCTCCACCGTCTCCCGACGTATCTCACCTACCTGCCATCCCACCCTGCAGTCAGACCACACCGCTAACTACCCTGTGTTTATGCTACTTATCCCATGGTTTTCCTCTATGTCTCTGCTATGACAGTTCCCAGTTCCTGGAATGCCCTTCCCGTTCATCTCTGCTTTGCCAAAGCATAGCCATATTTAAAATCCGCTACAACATCTCCCCTGTGAAGTCCTCAAAGTTCCCTGTCCCCATGGGAGCAAGGAAGTACCCTCTCCCTCTCCTGAACATGTCCAGCCTTTCTTTTTGGCCCTTAACCACTTTCCACATTCAATGATATGTACTTGACCCATATGTTGTTCCTCTTTCCCCCGCCTCCCAGAGTAAGGCCCTGAAAGTGTAGAGAAAATGGCTTCTTCATCTTTTATTCTTTCACAGCGTGTAGGATTCCTTGCACAGATTTGGTTCCCACGAATGAGTGCATGAATGAACAAGGCAAATTCAGCTGAGAGCAAATATACATAAAAATGCTGTAGGTATGAAACTGAGTGGCAGAAATATGCTAATATACCCTTGATTTAAAGCAATTGTGCGTGGAACAACTTAATAATTTATACCAGGCAAAAATGTGACTTCATTTATTTTACTGGGCATGATCCTAGCAGAGGAGAGCAGGCCGATGATAGTTGTAGGCTGGTGGCGAGTTGGCTCCAGTCGGGAGGTTGGAGGGGATGTTTCCTTCTGGCTGTCTACATGCCTGCGGTACAGGTGAAAAGAATTCGACCTTCCCACTCCCATGCCAGCTTTGGAGAAATCAGTGGGCCTTCTTTCTTCTCTCCACACTATTGTCAAAAAGTGGTTTCTGCTCCAAAATAAAAGGACCGAAGCTTGGTTCATGGGCCATCCATCTCAAGGTAAGTCCATCGAGGTGGTACTTACTCAAAACAAATGTGCGCTTCTTTACCAAAATAATCAAAATCAACTGCAGTTTCCTCCTTGCTTGTGAGGAAAACCAAAAAAGTTTCCCTTGGTGGTTTGCTTTTAAACTGAAAACATCATAACAGTTTGAAGGTCAACAAATTATAGCTCCAGCATGTAAGTCTGGCCAGTTTTGATGAGTTTAGAAAAATGCTGCTGTTGTCCCATTAGTATTTAAACCAAAGAGAAAGGAAGACAGTGGAGGGAAGGAACCAGCATTTCTCAGGCATCCGCTACCTGCCAGACGCACTAGAAACATTTGTTTAAACCTGCGATAGCCGTGTTGAGATTGGCTGAGTGGTGGAAGCAGGACTGTTTGTGTCTTGGGGTTGTTTCAAAATTTTTTTTGATGCGTAGATAAACAAGATTCTGCTTCACCCTTGGAGGGAAATATGGTCAATTCACGTTGATGAATTTCATGGTCTTCAGATAGGAAATAGCTTGTTGCCGTTGTTTGTTTTCACTCACAGCATTCCTTTTTTGCAGGATTCTGCCTCCTATTATGCTTTTTCCTGTCTGCAGCCAACACTGTTTAGAGATTTTCATCACTACTTCATTCCCAGGCTTCCTTAAGTTGTATTAGTGGGATTAGCTGTAGCCACAAACAGCCTAGTCCTACAGAATACAGAAAGACTGACTGAAGGAAGCCATGGAGAGGCCTGAAGTGGATTAGAAGCCCTTAAAAAAAAAGACACAATATTTTTAAAATCTGGGGCAAGGAGTATGAATACCTTGAACTGAAGGAACCAATGTGAAAAACGAATGCCAAACCAAAACCCCCAGTCTGTGTTTGGGAACAATTAGAATGATTTTCCCTATCAGTCCATGAAGCCGTCCTGTTATCCGTAGCACATGGAGTCAGCTTGGAAAGTTATTCCACTCGGACTATGCTGATTAGATTCTTAGTAGCTTTTCCATTAAAAATAACAAAATGTAACTTCCATTTATGTATCAACTGCAATCCTGTAGCACTCAGTGAGCATAAAGAAGCATTTTAAATCCCCAAAACTTGGTCAAATGTGAAGGTCAAAAGAGAAAAGTCACAGCAGGTAAATAACACAGGACAGCATTATCAAAGGGCTGTGCACGGCCACACACTCAAATGTGGGGACAGGACTTCAGTGAGCTTTCTGAAAGAAGACCA